GAGAGAGAGAGAGAGAGAGAGAGAGAGAGAGAGAGAGAGAGAGAGAGAGAGAGAGAGAGAGAGAGAGAGAGAGAGAGAGAGAGAGAGAGAGAGACTTTCTCTGTCTTACACAAACACACACACACCTCTCCCGCGATTTATTCAGAAATTTACTCCCACACCGTAAGAAATCTGGCCGGCTCCCACGGGAATGCAGAGAGCTGTAATCGGGCCATAAAAATTATACCCGATAGGTCCCGAGTCCGACACGTACATTTTGATTGACAGCTTTATAAAGCCCGAGCCCTTACAGCTCTAATGCATTTTTTTCAAGAATGAGTCATTTATATGTTTTAACAGCATTTATTCGTAACAAACGTAGACTATATCCCACTTGAAAGTTGGAACAAAGAAATAAAATAAGTCCTCTGTAACATCGTAACATCTCAGCACTCTATAGGTCTACATGCACTTAGCCTTTAAATTGGCCAACACACCAATGAAAAGAAATCTTGCTTAACAAATCAAATAAACTATAAATGATGACGGGTATTTTGGCAGTAACTAAATTGAAGCTGAATATTAAAAGAATAATGCCACCATTAGTCTGTATACTCTGTCTACATTATGATTATATGGTTTAATTAATATTTATTTATAATTTAAAACCCTTTACTCACCAAGATTAGGCTACGTGTGTTTCTGGAGGAACATTATTAAATCCACTGGCTTTAGCGCAGTCTTGCGCTCATGTGCGTCCAGCAGCACTGAACACCGTTTCACTGCTACTGCTACAGGCCGAGATGCAGAGTTCTGATCTGGCTGATTTTGCAAGTTTTAGGTAGGATTGTTTATTCATCTTATACCAGTCAGGAACATCCATTTAATTTCCCATGACCGTAGTTTCAGGGTAGCGAGTGGCTTCGTCATTTTACCTGTCAGCTTGCGGTTTAGGGCTCTACCGTAATACGCAGTGTATGAGCGACCGCTAAATACCTGCGGCTGGAATAACCGCTCTTTCTGACTGGCTTGACCGCCGTCAAAATTCTCTTTTTTTACTACTTCGTCATAATTTGCTTCACCTTTGCAGGGATGGATTTTAATGCAGGGATTTGGATTTTTTCGGGTCTCGCCGGGTTCGGGCAAAGATCTTTAGCTCTAATGCAGACCTCTCGTTCATATTAACCACGTCTCCCTTCTGTTCAGTCTAAACTGCCAAACTGCAGGACACTTTGAAGCGCGACTCGTCACGTCACGTCTCCCTGTCCCTCTCTCCCTCTCCCCCTCCCTCTTCCTCTATCTCTCTCCTCCACACTGTCCCGTGATGACAACCACACACACGTTTTTTAGGCATTAAATAAAGGATATTTAATACTTTATGACGGTATAACGGTATTGAAACTGACACCGTTGCTATTTTTAGATCCCGCGGTATACCATAATACCGTAATATCGCCCAAGCCTACTGTAGATGCTCTGTTTAACTGTTTTCTCGCTATTGAAACATTCAGTTTGTACACTTACAAAGTCCCTCATGTAAATAGTAAATGCACCATGGCACGATGCAACTGACTTAATGCTTTTGCACCACGCACTTTAAACTCTGCACCTATATCATTAAAATAGAGCCCTATATCTTAAACATCTGATTTTTCCTTGCTGTTGCTTATGTGTTTTCATTTATCCGTTTCACTCGAGAATAAAAAAATCTATTAATTAAATAAAAAAATATATTAATAATAAAATAAATAAAAATAAATAAATAAAATCGCATAATCCGACATAGTGGACTTTTGTAACCAACAATAAAAATCGTGTGATCTGACCGGGGCTTGAGACTTTTGCACAAATCTAAAAGGTATAGGGCAAGTGCTGGGTCATTACTTCTGGGTGAGTTGAAACATGTACACAACATTTAGAACAACATTACTTTTGGAATCAAAAGACTAGCATCAAAAGTCTGTGTTAAACATGACCCCTTTAGCACTAAGCAACATCTCAAACTTTATTGTCAAGTCTTTTCTGTAATGATGTGCTATCTAATATCACGCATCTTTCAGCATTTTTTAAAAGTTCTTCCTTAGATTTAGCATGTAGATTAAGGTGAATCTCATCAAACCTGCCAATATTCCCTATACTGTATATAATATTTAGGTCTGGACTCTGTGGAGGCCATTTTATGACTGTTCATATTGTTTCATCAGCTGTTCTCCCCAAATATGATTTCATTACATTAGCAGTGGGTTTGGGATATTTATCATGCTGAAAAATAAACCCAGGGTTCAACAATAAGGGCTGCCCAATGGTCCGGGGCCAGTGTGAGAGATGCTCGGGACAGTAGACAGAATCGTTACTGGCCCAATCGGGTCACTAAATTTCAATTTGCTTGCTACTATTTGTCAATTCCGTGCAAATACAGTCTTAGAATTGAGAAGCTATTTGTTCTTTTAAGTCTTTGAATGCTACCTTCTCTGTGATGTCGTAAACACCATATTGCTTTTCGTTTTCTTATATCTGATTG